ACGGGTGCTCTCTCTGCCTTGCTGCTTTATCCCTGTAGCAGCGATGTTTTGCTTCTCTCCAGCCGTTTGTGGCATCAGATTAGCTGAATTCAAACAAAAAAAAAAAAAAGAAAGAAAACGAAAAGAAACTGTTGCAACAAATTCATTGCATCCGCTGGGAGCCCCCACGGTGCAGCCTGTCTCACCTGCAGTACCGCAGAGCAAGCCCTGCCGCGTCTGAGCGCTGCGGTTTTGGAGCGAAGAAGCAGTGAGTGGGGCCAGGACTCCTGGGTTCGCTCCCTCGCCGCTGTGCCGGCTTCCTCGGATGGTTCAGGCCTAAATTTTTGCTCGCTGGAAGAGCCAGGGCTGCAGGGTCCGGCTGCAGGGTCCCCTGCTGAAGGCAGCTTAGGGACACAGGAGACAGCAGCATCTGGGAGGATCCGGCCCTTAATTTGCAGGATGGAGGCGCTGGGTTAACTGGGGAGGGGGCAACTCTCGCTCCAGGTTCATCAGAGAGCGGACGAATGCATGCGAGGGCTCCAGCTCTTCGAGGACATCAGCAGCGGTAAATCTGTCCCAAACGTCCTTCACAGCGACTTCGATCTGTCTGTGCTGCAGGTGTGTAGACCCGTCTGTGCTGCAGAGATCCCCAGGCCCAGCCTGGGGGTTTAGTCTGGCTCAGAGGGGGTTCAGGCCCTGGCTGTGCCTTTGGGGAAGGATCAGGCCTTGCTACGTGTGAGTGTTGCCCCGTGGAACAAGCAGGGGTCTGTGCAGACCCACAGCCACCTACATCTCTGCTTTTTGTTGCCTCTCTTCCCCCTTTTCTCCTCCACGCATGCTGGAGAAGCCCTAGATTTGGCTTTCCTAATTCAGGACCTTCTAAAGCAAGATTTGGGTGCAGGCTCCTCTAGCCTTCTCTTTTTTGCAGGACAGCATTGATTTGACCAAAGTCGCTGTCATGGGCCATTCCTTCGGTGGCATCACGGCAGTGTTGGCCACGGTGAAGGAGCCCCGCTTCAGGTGAGGAGCCCTGGGGACGGCTGCCAGCAGAGCCTGGGAGTCTGCGGGCACCGGGACATGCCGGTGTGACGTGTCCCGGCGGGAAGGGAAGCCGCGGTGCCGGGAGGCCGGCTCAGCGTGGCTGTCCTGCCGCAGGTGTGCGGTTGCCCTCGACGCCTGGATGTTCCCCTTGGACAACGCGCTGTACCCGGAGGTGAGCAAGCCCGTGCTCTTCATCAACACTGAGAAGTTCCAGACACCGGAAAGCGTTGCCAAAATGAAGAGGCTGAGCTCCAGAAACAGCCAGACGAAGATTATAACCATCCTGTGAGTCAAGGGCTGGCGACACGCACCCTTCTCCCCATCTCCCGTGCCTTAGTTTCCCCATCTGTAAAAAGGGCAGGGTAACAGCTACCTTGCCTTAGCATGCGCCAATTCCTAGAGATGAGCGACGCTGTCTGAAAGTGAGGGCTGACATCTAGACCGTGCACTGACGTGCTGGTACGTGGCTGCTCCCCGAGGAGCCTGCTTGCTGCAGGGAGGACGGTTCTCCCACGTCCTTGCAAGTCCCGTTGGAGCACAGCGGCAGCTCAGCTCCATTTTCCTCTTCCTCCTCCTCTACCACCTTCCATACTTTCTCCTCCTCTTTCCAGCCCTGCTTTCTCCTTTACCCAGCTTTCCCTTTTCTCATGTACCCGGAAACCGTCTTTCCTGCCTCCAAACCCTCACTGAACCCCGCTCTCTCCTGCAACCTCCTCATCCCCATCTGCCCTTGTTGCTCTCGTTGGAGACGGCTGTTGTCTCCCTGGGGCAGCCTGGGAGCTCTGCCTTGCTTCCTGGTGCCGTGAGCCCCACGCCTGGACAGGGGGGAGACGCTGCACGCCAAGCACGGCAGCGCGTTGCTGGCACCTTGCCTGCGCTGGGAACACCGTGCAGGTCCCTGCCGGGGGTACCTGCGAGCCGTGTCCGAGCAGGACGGCCTCTTCGTAGCTCTCACTGAAGCAGATCCCTTCCCCTCCTCAGGGGATCCGTGCACCAGAGCCAGACCGACTTCACCTTTCTGACCGGGAAGTTCGTCAACCGCATCTTCAGCACGAGGGGCTCCCTCGACCCCTACAAGTGCCTGGATATCAACAGCCGGGCGGCTCTGGGCTGCCTGCAAAGGCACCTGAGTACGGCGCAGGGTGGAGGGCGCTCCTGGTCGGGGCTCGGGAGGGCGAGAGGGCCTCCGTGGTGGTTGAGCTTGACGCTTCCCGTCCCGTATTGAGGGTGGCCTTGGCAGTCACAGCGTGAGCCTCGCGGGCTTGGAGGCAGCCGGGCTCCCGTCCTCCGGGCGAGGGCAGCTGAGGCTCTGACGCGCTGAGAGGTTGCGTCTCTTTCCAGCCCTTTCCTTAAGGCTGCTGGAAAGTTTTACAGCCCAAAGCAAACGTGTCCAGTGGCTCCTTTGCTTTCATGCACGGAGCCTGGCCAGGCTGGTAATTGCTGGAGTAACTCTGCGATCTCTGCTCCGTCCAGACCTGAACGAGGAGTTTGATCAGTGGGACCATCTCCTTGAAGGCATCGGCGACTCGGTCGCTGCAGAAGCGCCCTTGTGCCGCTCCAGCCTCTAGCCTGCTGCGAGTCCAGCCGGCAAGCACTCTGGGGAGCCGGGTACCCGGAAATCAACTGCTTCTCATCCCAAATGAACCACTCAGTAACTAACCTCCAGAGGGTGGGAGGTCCCGGGGGGAGAGCAGGGCCTGGGGACCGCGCTTGTAGGACGTTTGCATCAGCGTCTTGTGGCTGCGGTGCTCTCACTGCGGTGGCTGCTCTGTGCAATGAGAACTGGCGGTGGAGCGAAGGGAATAAAATCCCTGGGGGCAACGAATGCGTCCCCGGTCACTTGATACCCTTCTTGCGTGCACACGGGGACGTGGGCGTTGATCCCTTGCTGGGCCTGGCTGGATCCACTGCAGTGGACACATCTGGCAGGAGCAGACGGAGGGGTTGTTACCGGCGGGGGGGGGGGGGCGCCGACCACGGGCCGCAAAAC